CTGCATCATCCTTATGATCGGTTACAGATCAGGCTGTTATGATCCATAGGGTTTTCATGGGCTGATTTTCGAAAATAGATCACCAAGCCTTTCTTCCTAGTTCATCTTAGTCTGGAAGCTCTGATGAAACCTGTTCAGCATCATAACAACAGGCAAGCCCCCACGGACAGACGGGTGGTGGCTGCAGTTGGTGTGAATTGTCCAGGAATTGCATCCAGGTCCTGTGCATGGAAGGCAGGAATTCTGGCACTGAACCACCACCGCCTCTAAGGTGTCATAATTGAACAGAGAGGCTAAGGTCATACAGCTAGTAAATTGAGAAGCTAGGATTCAAACCCCAGCTAGTCTGTCTCTCTCTCAAGCCCTCGCTGCTCTACGCTGCATAAGAGGGAACCCAGGGGCAGTGAGAGAATGTTAGACAGCTGATTGTGTTTGCCCCGTCCATACTGCCTGTTATCCCAGGGAAGATGTTGCTGAAGCTCAAAAGCTGGTGGTGGGCTCCTAAAATGTGTCCATCGGGCTCCTGGGTTAGGTCATCACAGCTGTGACAGCAGGTCTCTGAGAATTTCTTACACACTAGAAGCAGGTCGAGGAGGCGCCTGGCCTTGGAAGATGTGAACTAGCAGGGGAAAGTTAGCAAAAGACGATGCAGAGGTTTCAAGTGGCAGAAGACAAAGGAGTGACCCGGCTGGGAGAAGACAGGATGCTGGGCTGGAGGTTACAGGCACACTAGAGTCCTCCGGTGGTGCAAATGGTTAATGCACTCAACTGCTAACCAAAAGATTAGAGGGTCAAGTCCACCCAGAGGTGCCTTGGAAGAAAGGCCTGGTGATCAACTTCCCCAAAACCAGCCATTGGAAACCCTATGGAACACCGCTGTACTTTAACACACATGAGGTCACCATGAGTTGGAGTCAACTTGATGGCAACTGGTTTTTAGAGGCACACTGTATATTGTAAAAGAGCTGCAGTTTTCAAGGAGGAAAATATGTAAGTTGTGTGAACAACCAATATTGGGATGGTTGGGTGCAGTTTAGAAAAAGGTAATTTACCTGTTGACCCAGTGAGTCTATCATATCCAAGTGCCTTAAGCTGTGGAATCAAACCAAGTTGCCTCCACCAGTCGCAAAGTTGGCTGCTCACTTGTTATTAGGGAAAATATTTAAGTACCCACTCAAATGGCAAATTATTCACTTCTCATACATGTTAATGTTACCCAGTAATGAGATGTGATGTTAACCCAAGAACGAGTTCCTCCCTTTCCCCACTCGAATCCTGATGTGCTTTATAGAGTGAAAGAGAAAAGGATGACATGATTGATAAGGTTGTGTGTCAACCTGGACGGGCCCCGATTCCAAGTGGTTTGGTAGTTATGATTGGCAGTCATATAATAATGTGATCACCTCCATGATGGGATCTGCTGTGAGCAGCCAATCAGTTGAAAGGGAGTTTCCTTGTGGGTGTGGCCTGCATTCAGTATAGGTGAACTTTCTGGCAAGGCTCTCAGGCTTTTGCTCACTCTGGATCCTGCAGCTGGCTCCTGTTCATCTGACCTCCGGTTCTTGGAACTTAAGCTAGCAGCTTACCTGCCAATCTTGGAATTCGTCAGCCTTCCCAGTCTGTGAGTCACCTTACCTGCTGCTCTTGGGATTTGTTGGCCTCCACAGCCTGTGACTGGAGGCCTGTTGTCTGGCCGGCTGATCTTGGGTTCTCCAGCCCCTGCAGCTCCGTGAGTCAGGAAAAGCCTCCAGCCTGACCCATGGACTTGGGACTTTCCAGCCTCTACAACCACGTGTTTCATTTCCTTGGTATAAATCTCTCTGTCTCTCTCTCTATATATAGATGCTTCACTGGTTTTGCTTCTCTAGAGAACCCAGCCTAAGACAGATGGGATTAGTGTTAGTTCTCATGCATGGCAGATCCCTGGGGCTCCTTCATCTGTGCTACAGCCTGTGATCTGGGACCCCAAAGGGAACACGCTGTGCATGGGAACACATCTGCCATTTGCTTCTTGGCAGAAATAAAGTTTCAGAATGAATGGCTCAAAGGATGATAAAAGAAGATCAAATAAAATCAAGGGGATGAAGGAGGAGGCAGATGATGGTTAGATTGCAGTTAGAAAGGAGAAGAACACCTCAAAGGGAACCAGAAAGCTTTGGGGATTTTGGTGTCTCGGTGCAGTAACGTGGGCAGCTGAGTTTCTTGAATCCAGGTAGATGAGGTCGAGCTCTCAGATCTGGCACGCAGAAGCTCGTGTCCTGTGGATGAGTATTATGGCAGAGGGGTCTTCCCAAGATGATCTTGACAGTATCTCCCAACCACATGCTCTTCTTTCAATGTAACTTTAACATTCCTCCATCAAGGGTGAGGCTTAGCTCCCTCCCTTGAATCTGGGCAAGGGTAGAAGTGATGTATTGTGAGTTGAATTGTGTCCCCCTAAAATATGCGCTGAAATCCTAACCCTTGTACCTATAAGGATGACCCTGTTTGGAAATAGGCGTTGTGATGGTTAAGGTTGTGTGTCAACTTGCCTGGGCCATGATTCTCAGTGGTTTGTCAGTTGTATGATGTTGTGATTGCTTCCATGATGAGAACTGATATAATGTGATCACCTTCATGATGGGATTTGCTGTGAGCAGCCAGTCAATTGAAAGGGAGTTTCCTTGGGTGGGCGGCCTGCATCAAATATAAGTGGACATTCTGGCAAGGCTCATGGGCTTTTGCTTATTCTGGATCCTGCAGCTGGCTCCTGTTCTTCAGACCTACGGTTCTTGGGACTTGAGCTAGCAGCTTTCCTGTGGTCTTCCCTGCAGATCTTGGGATTCATCAATCTTGGCAGCCTGTGAGCAACAGCCCTGCTCTCTAACCTGCAGATCTCAGGTTTGCTAGCCCCTGCGGCTATGTGATTCAGGAGAAGCCTCTGTCCTAACCCACAGACTTGGGGCATTCCAGCCTCTACAACCACATGAGCCACTTCCTTGATATAAATCTATTTCTGTATATATTTATAGGCTTTACTGGTTTTGCTTCCAGAGAACCCAGCCTAAGACAGGTGTTTTCTTGTGCTATGTTAATGAGGTCATACCTGAGTAGGATGAGTCCTAAAACTAATCACTTCTGAGTTATAAAAAGAACAAAATTGACACAGAGACATACACAGCGGGGAGACAGATGCCAAGTGAGGACCCTTCTACAAGCAAAATAGTGTCAAGGGTTGCCGTAGACACCAGAAACTAGGAGAGAGGGTCACAGAAAGAATCGACATGGCCAAAACTCTGGTTTGGAATTTTAGCCTCCAAAACTGAGAAAACAAATTTCTGGGTTTTTTTTTTTTTTTTTGTGTGTGTGTGTGTGTACTTAAGGCAAAGTTTACAGAGCAAATCAGTTTTTCATTAAACAATTAATATACAAATTGTTTTGTGACACTGGTTGCCAACCCTGCAGTGTGTCAACACTCTCCCCTTCTCCACCCCGGGTTCCCCATTTCTACGCCTCCAGTTTTCCTGTCCCTTCCTGCCTTCTCATCTTTGCTTTTGGGCTGGTGTGCCCATTAGTCTTGTATACATGATTGAACTATAAAGCATGTTCCTCACATGTGTTATTGTTTGCCCTATAGATCTGTCTAATCTTTGGCTGAAGAATGAACCTCAGGAGTGACTTCAGTACTGAGTTAAAACAGTGTCCAAGGGCCATACCATTGCGAATTTCTGTTCTTTAAAGACACCTACTTGGGATATTTGTGTTACAGCAGCACCAGGAAACTAAGAGAAATTCTATGGGACTTCTATGGCTATAAAAGGCATTACAGCTTCCACTCGCCTCTCTATCTCCTGGGAGATCAACCCTTGGAACTGTCATGCTGTGAGGTAGCCTAGCTCACATGAAGATGACTCAGGTCGCCAGCTGAGGTCCTAGCTGATAGCAAGCATCAATTGCCAGCCATAGGAGTGATGAGCCTTCAGATGATTCTGGCCCCAGCCACTGTGTCCTCCAACACCAAGTCTTCCCAGCTAAGGCCCAGACACCATGGGACAGAGACAATAGTCCCCACTGTGCCCTTTCCAAATCCTTGTCTGTCATGGATTGAATTGTGACCCCAAAAAATATGTGGATCAATTTGGCCAGGGCATGATTCCCAGTATTGTGTGATTGTCCACCATTTTGTCATCTGATATGATTTTTCTACGTGTTTAAATCCTACCTCTATGATGTTAATGAGGTAGGATTAGAGGCAGTTATGTTAGAGAGGCAGGACTCAATCTACAAGACTGGATTGTGTCTTGAGCCAATCTCTTTTGAGATATAAAAGAGAGAAGCAAGCAGAGAGACAGGGGGACCTCAAACCACCAAGAAAGCAGCACCGGGAGCAGAGCACATCCTTTGGACCCAAGGTTCCTGCATGGAGAAGCTCCTAGACCAAGGGAAGATTGATGAGAAGGACCTTCCTCCAGAGCTGACAGAGAGAGAAAACCTTCCCCTGGAGCTGACACCCTGAATTTGGACTTCTAGCCTACTAGACTGTGAGAAAATAAATTTCTCTTTGTTAAAGCCATTCACTTGTGGTATTTCTGTTATAGCAGCACTAGATGACTAAGACACTAACCCAGAGAAGCTATGAGCATGACAAAGTGGCAGTGGTTTTACGTTGCTAATTTTGAGTTGGTTTATTACTCAGTCATAGATAAAGGGATGGAGTGTGACAATAACAACCTTGAGAGTTGTAAGGACTAGAGATAACATATGAAACCACCTAGTTTGGTATCTGACATACAGAAATATCTCAGAAATGGTAACTGTTATCATCATTATTGAAAAGTGAGAGGGTTACAATCTACTAAACCAAACCAAACCAGCTGCCAATTCCGACTCGTGGCGACCCCAAACATGCAGAGCAGAACTGTGCTCAATAGGGTTTTCAAGACTGTGACTTTTTGGAAGCAGATCACCAGGCCATTCTTCTGAGGTGCCTCTAGGTGGGTTTGAACTGCCAATCTTTCAGTAAGTAGTCAAATGTTTAACTATTTGTGCCACCCAGGGACTCCTTATAATCTACTAGGTCTGTTTATCTTGCCCTGTCAGCCTTTGCCCCACTCACCACTGTCTGCCACATTTCCAGAAAACCTCAGTGCCAACTCAGTGCAGCTGAGCACCTCCTCCAGAAGCTCCAACCACGTTCTTCTCCCTGGAGGCAACAAGGGTCTTTTTAGGTGTCAGCATAGGGTGGGAGGGGCCCTGGTGGCACAGTGGTTAAGAGCTCAGGCTGCTAACCAAAAGGTTGGCAGTTAGAATCCACCAGCCACTCCTTGGAAACCCTGTGGGGCAGTTCTACTCTAGTATAGGGTAAGAGGCCATCACCCATCTGTCAGTTTGTTGTACTGTGGTGGTTTGCGGGTTGCTGTGATGCTGGAAGCTATGTCACTCGTAATTCAAATACCAGCAGGGTCACCATGGTGGACAAGTTTCAGTGGAGCTTCCAGACTAATACAGACTAGGAAGAAAGGCCTGGAAATCTATTTCTGAAAATTAGCCAATGAAAACCTTATAGATCACCACAGAACATTGTTCAACTCCAAGGCAAGACACAAATCTTTTAAGTTACCTGTGTAAGTTTTAAGGTCAACATTCTTATAGGTATATTTTAGAAAAGATTATTATTGTTAATAATTAGATATTACTACAGTGAGAGGTTTTTTTTTAATTGTGTTGTGTTTTGGGTGGGGCTTTGCAGTGCAAATAAGTTTTTCATTGAAAAATTTTATACACAAATTGTTTGGTGACATTAGTTGCAATCCCCACAATGTGTCAGCACTCTCCCCCTTTCCTTTTCCACCCTGGGTTCTCAGTGTCCATTTGTCAGGTTTTCCTGTCCCTTCCTGCCTTCTTGTCTTTGCCTTTGGTTGGGTGTTGAACTAAGATGCACATTCTTCATGAGTGTTATTATTTGTGTTATGGGCCTGTCTAGTCTTTGGCTGGGGGGTGGATTTCAGGAGTGGCTTCAGTTTTGAATTAGCAGGGTGTCCAGGGGCCGTAGTTTTGGGAGGACAGATAATTCTTAAACTGAACAACAGATCACGTGAAGTAGAGGGCCAGCGAAGGCGAGGGAGACCCTCAGGGAGATGGATGGGCATAATAGCTACAATGATGGACTGGAACATGCTGGTGATTGTGAGGATGATGCAGGACTGGACATTTCATTCTGTTGTACATAAGGTCACCACAACTCAGAGTGATTTTACTATCTATCCATCCACCCATCCATGTATGTATGTATAGATGGGTATATATATCATCCATTCATCCATCCATCC